ATTCTCTTGGCGTAATGAATATAGAGTAGTCATATAGCGTAACTGAATTAGTTTGGGATTGAAGTGCAATAATTGTTGACAATGGGTTTTCATGGCTAGCATAAGAGACAATTGCGTTTAATTATGCTGATAAATATTGATACTCCTTGAGGGACCTATTGTGGGTTCTGTTCTTATGCTACAGTTTGCATGCTCATAGGCTCTGACTGACTGCTAAATGTAATCTTGGACGACATTTTGCTATTAGGACACCTAAACTGATTTATATGCAAGACTATGTACTTCAAAGATGTCGGAAATCTATCTGTGTAAATGAAAGGTTGCTGTTCTAGGTAGAAGGATGTAATTAATGATTTAACTTTATAATAGGAAAAAATATTGACTGTAGTATGAAGAAAAGAGGACAAGGGTGTTACTTTAGTTCACAAGGAGGTCCCAAAAGGAATGGTTGGGTGATTGAGGCATAGGAGAGCAATAATTTAGAGATCCTAAGTTTGAATCTATATATAATTCTTAGTGTGAACTCATCCCTTTTAGCCTTAGCAGGCAGTTAGGCCGTAACACGTGACACAGTGGATTAGTATCACCATAAAAATAGTTCATAAGGAAGAAAACATAGATTGATCAACTTTTATTTTGATTTATTCTGTAGGTCTTAGATCAGCTAATCTTTTACGTATCTTCACTTTTGTTGTTCACCCTTCCTCAGGAAATTTAATTAACAGCTGATTGTACCTTGTCACTAAATATTTTAATCTTATTTCTTTTTCCAATGTAATCAAATCTAGAACTTCTTTTGCTTCAAAGATAGCCCCTTATTCCATTTTTTTTTATAACCGAGAAATCTGCCTGTGACCCGCCCTTTGGACCAATCACATGCCTGCCCCTTATTCCATTTTTGTATGACACTCTTTCCTTTTTAGTCTGTTCGAAAAAGAATGACTACTCCATGCCTATTCAAATACCACTCTATAAAACGAAACAGAGGGGCTGCATTCTAAGTTACACGTAGTTTCTGCATTGGTAAGTGTATATTTGGCTATCTGCTATTTACTGACAGTACACAATCATGTGACTAGCTAAGAGTTTTCTGCCATAATTTATTTTTAATAAGTAACTGGAAATTGTTCCTCATCCATTCTTGTTATTACTTTTATCTTTATATTTTATTCGTTATTGTTACAAAATGGCCCTGAATATAGAGGAATGGATGCAGAGAATTCATATAACCAGTCCTACTAGTTTGGGATTGTTGCATAGGTGATTGATTGTTTTATCTTTATGGAATAAATCGTGTAGCTGCTTTCATCCAGTTGTCTTATGATTGTTATGTTGATTTCTGGTGAGGGAATCAGTTGGCGTCCTTGATATTGCAGTTTGAAACGTAAATGACTAACAAGATTATAAGAAACTTTGCTTGGAAAACACCTAGAATGGGGAAGTACTATGAGCTCCTTAACCGGGTATTAACTTGTTAGAACTGAGATTTCTAGAGATAACTTCCTGATGTCTAGTCTAGACTGAATTTGCATTTCTCCTAATTCTCAAATCCTCTTTAAAGCACATAGGTACGCTGTGAGTTGTTAAGTTTGCTGAATCATCCAAAATAACCACTGTCTGATATTTAACGAAGCTTGGATACAAGCGCTTTGTGGATACAAAGTGTGATCTAGTTAGGTAAAAATTAGCTTACTTTGAGTAGGGAATCGTTTTTAAAAGCCAAATATCGCCAAAGTTAGACATACAAAATCCTGTCACATCATTTGGTAAGAGAACTATGTTATTATGTAGGTTCTCTACTTTTCTATATGACCATAAAATTATTTACCTTGTCAAATATAAAGTAGAATTTATATCCTCTTATTGTATGCTTATTTGAAATTAGTGAATTTTTATAGGTAAAGTATCATTTGAGTTTCTCTGGCCAACCGCCTTTTTCTCCTATATTAAGAATTTTGAAGTCATTCAAGAATTCTATATGCCCTTTTCCCATTTGTTTTTATGCTTTGGCCTCGTTGATATTTTAAAAGTTAAAATAATGTCTACTTAGGCCACAGTTTTCTTGAATATCCTTTTGGTAACTTTAATTTCCAAAATTTGTGGCTTGTAGTACCTCTCTTTGTAGTTTCCGAATACCTAAATTTCACCTTAACATTTAATTATTGATGGTTGAATTCAACCTTGAAGTTATTACATTAGGCCCTAATTATCGAATTAGATCATTCATTTTTTCACACTAAAACAAGTACTAAAAAGCAATTAAAATTCAGTTGAGATCCATTGAATTAAGTGATAATAACTGTTTTTGTCACTGCTGCTTACAGCTGCATTTGGAGCAGTATTGCACGTGTTATCCACCTCACTTCTTGGCATAACGGCAATAACAATATCAAACACAATTGCTGGGGAGGAAACAGTGCACAAACTGGCTTCCTTATTGCTTGTAGTTCTTGGTGGTAGTTATGTCATCTTGCATCTCTTTGGAAAGGGTGGTCATAGCCATTCACACAATCAACCAATGGAGAAGATGGCTGTGGCAGGGCTTATACTTGTTCCTGCATTGTCTCCTTGTGCAACCACTCTGCCTGTATTTCTTGCTGTTGGAAATTCATCCTCCATGATGGTGCTTGCCATCATAGTTTTACTTTTCAGGTATTAGTTTGATTTTAAATTTTCATTGTACACTATGTAACTGTACTTCGAACCTTTTTGTTTTCATACATTTTCGTTTTCTAGACATAGATTAATCTTGATATATTGCAATAATACTTGGTCTTGTTTGAAAAGGAAAGAGAAGGAATCAGGGGTTGGGGTTTAGCTGACGTGTACCTTGTACTGTAATCTTACTGGCGATTTTCTGGAGAGAACTGTTCTCTTTTATGGAGTAAGCATAGTGAATAAGATAGTTTTTTGAGGTATTTGGTTGGTTTTAACTTATAACCAATACTTGGTATGGTTCAGATCCAGTTTCATTTGCTATTAACCGTTCAACACAACATTATTTGGGCTCCATATAATTATCTATTTGCATTTCGTTAGATGTATTTTGAGGTTTCATGGACGGTTGGAAATGACTTTATTAGACTTGCATTACTACCTTCAAGACTGCCCCAGGGCTTTGGATCAGTATTAAGGATGCAACACATGATGTGAAGATTAGGTGCATCTCATGGGTTCAAACCCTGTCAAAGATGAAACTTTGGTATTTAAGTTGGGAAGAGGGTAGAGATACATGCTCATACCCCTAGGAGTTTCAAACTTGTGCACCAACTGGAGTCGGGCCAGAAGCCCACAGGGGATTTCTCTGGTCTGATATCAAAAAATTTATAGCCTTTAAGACAGACTGCTTCAATCTTTTTGGTGATCAGAGTAGATGTAACTTTTCCCCTATCACGATTCATAAACATCTACAGTCTTAGGATTCGGAGAATTTCGTTTCTTTGTTGGCGCACTTGTATCATTTACTTCTTTTATGTATCTGAACTTTCCAATGTGTAACATAAGTTTATACTTCATTTGCAGCACTATTACTGTAATGACCTCATTGGTGGCTCTTTCATTTTATGGTGCAAGTCAACTCAAGTTCCAATGGGTGGAACGCTACGATAAGCTCCTTGTTGGTTCTGTGCTGTGTTTGGTGGGCATTTTGACCCTTATTTTTCACGATCACGATGAAGTAGGTTCCTCAGGAGTCCACGTGCACAGAAAACTTAGTTTGCTGTAGGAGTTATTCTTCTGCCAGTGAATCTGTTATGTGAAGAAATACACGAACTTCCCCGTTTTTGTTATTATGCAATAGTGAGTGTTCAAATATGTTATCATTTCCCCCATATTCCAGACGCAGGGGTCGACTTTTCTGTAGGAGGATTCGCCATTTTCCAGTTGAGTAGTCTCGTCTTGCTACCAGCTCATGATGCTCTGGCATGGTAAAAAGCCAGCATGAAACTTTGGACAGTTGATTTTAATTTAGAGTTATGTTAAAATTTATTTCAAGATAGCAGTTTGAAGAGAATTTGTATTTTAAAGGATTATCCTTTGAACCCTTTTCACTGTAAATGTCAAGTGTACAATACTCGTCGAGGGAATAAACCGTTCTCTTCTTTATATAGACTTTGGCAATCCTCACCTTAATAGAGCTTAACTTTACGGTTGTGTTAGATCCATGGTTCATTTTCTTTACGGTAAAGGCAGAAGAGAATACTGCGAGACTATAGTTAAAAGAAACAATGCTAATTACGGAATGAGATAAACTGAATATTTTTGCTGGCAGTAAAGCACTCCAACTTTGAGAGCGCACATCTACATACCTCAAGTTGGTCTCAATTGACAACTAAATACTTCAACTCATTCCTATCTTGTAGACACCTGATGCTGACATGACACATAAATTTTGGAGATGTCTAGATGATCATTTGGTAAGTTTGAGTGTTCAATTGATTCGATAGAGATGAGGTTTCTAAATGGACATACTCAAAATTAGAGCATTTACTTGTCAACTAAGGCCAAGTTTGAATATATGTTTATATATTATGCCTATTTACATTTACTAACTTGAATCAATAGATAGTCGACCAAATCATGTTGTGCACATAAATCCATAAAACTTGCAAGGGAAGTCCTATAAAGATCACCACGGGACGTTGTGATGGGATGAATGACATCCTTCACATCCTTGACTAGAGAAGGGCTCGAGTGACACAAATAGAGAAATCTACGATAGGAAGTAATTCTCCTATAATAAATTGTATGAATGAATTCAGATTAATCGAATCAATGAGTACTCAAACTAGAGGAAAATAAAATCAATGTTCAAATTTATTTATTGTTCAACTTCTCTATAAATGAATTCACTAGCATTTTTCAGTCTATAAAAATACAACCATTTTTCTCAAACCAAAAGAGAAAAAAGTAGTAATACATAATTTCTACATTATGTTTTAGTATATAGTAGAGTAATAAACAAAAACTCAAATTTAAAATGTGATTAAACTTTAAACCCTCTACCAAAGCCTCACACTATAATCACAATCCTTAGATACCAATTTCGACTTAACGGTCAACGCATCCACCGTTACGTCACAGTTAACTTTAACGGTGATTTCCCAGGTCTTCACTGCCCCAATCTTAATCTTAACCGGCGCTTTAATATTCACTCTAAACGGCACTTTCCCTTTCATCTGTTCATTTCTTAACGTCGACTTAACGGCGTTTCCAAGTATAACGTTCGAACCTTTCAACGCCGTTTGAAAAACCGTTACATTATTCGCCGGCTGATAAAACGCCGGTAATGCACCGGCGGAAAGATCCACGCCGGAGTAAACCACCGTAACTGAACTTCCTTTCCGGTAGTAAATTCCTAATTTGTTGTTCGGATTTTCAGCTCTGACGGAAATGTCGAACTCAGGCGAGATTCTCGAAGACGCTGTGAAGTTGAAATTCTTAATCGCAATGCTGGAAATGGTGTACTTCGGTGCTTCAGGGCGGTATACAAGGTATAGAACTCCGGCGGTGATTCCGATTGATATAATAAGCAGAAGTAGAACGGAGAAAGTGAAGCAGAGACAACGACAGCAGCAGCTCCGGCGAGGTTTTCGTTTAGTAAGAGACTCATACCGGCGAGAATTCTCCGGTGGAGGATACTTGTAAATTTGATCCTTCGGAACTTGAACTACGTAAGTTCCCGCCGGTGGCTGTACAGGCTTCGCCGGCGATGGAAATGATGGTTTTTTCGGTGAAACTACTTCGCCGGAGTTGTTCGAGGACGGTGGATTGCTTGATGATGGTAAATCCATAGGATGTACTCGATCCGCCATCGTGCTACAAAATCAAATTGAAAATTTAGAATTCAAACTCGAGATCTCCAAATAAATACGAAGAATATGAAGTTGAAACGAAAAAACGTGAAGAGCTGTAATACAGCAAAATGAAAATGGAAGTTCAATAAGTGTGTGTCTGAGTTATGTGAATTTATATATGTATTTTTTTCGCCGTGTAATAAAAGAAAAACCGCGTTAGATGTAACGCGCAATATTAACGGCTATTTAACTAATAACAATTAATTTCATTTATTATTTTATTTATTTATGGAGGTTAGGTATCATATTTTAATTATTTTTTTTGTAGTTGTTACAGTTCAATATTAGTTGTAGAGCACAAATAAATTAACGCAAGTAATTAATTACAAAAGTTACCGTAAATACAGACATTCAAAATATATAAAAGGCATAAAAAAAATTGTGATTAAAGAAATGCCTTGTTCGACTCGTAAAATGTGAAAGATATTAGGTAAATTGAGATAAAATAATTACTAAATTTTTGTCAACATACTTGAAAGTCAAGTGTCAAAAATAATTTTTAGCGATAATTAATTAACGAAAATAGTTTAATTGCAGCTAAATATGTTCTTTTAGAGGCAATTAACACTCTTTATTCATGTCCCCTAAATTCTTGAATTCAATGGCAATTAACTAAATTCGATAAAGGCTTTAACACGATCTTTGTTAAATATTTATTGCTGCATTCTCTCTAATGTGTGTGTTTTTGTTCAACAAAATGATTTCTTATAATCATTTACAAATTGAATAGAATAAAAATGAAATTTTCTGATCTGGTAAAAAAATGAAGATTTTTTCTTATGTATAAAAATAAAATTTCCTTTAAAAAAATTACTAAAATTTATAAAAGACTACAAAACCAACTCGCCTCTTTGTATATTTCCATACAAACAAATAAAGGTTACAAGTTGAAAGTCGTCGTGCCATAGGTATTATTAATTAATTATGAAGTATTTATTAATATTGAATAAGACCAAATCTACATTATATTATTAATAACGATCGGGCACGTTCTAACCATATGTGTATATTTTATTGGTGTCATTATTATATATATATAGAACATAAAAAGAAATTACAGAAGCTACAAAGAAGCATCTGGTTGCTAGTATAATTATTTTAATCATTTAATTTGTGTAAAAGTAATTTGATGTTTAATTAGTAATTGGATTTAAAATGTCATTACCTAGCTAGCTTGTTAGTTCCTACTAATTAATCCAATTGTCGTTATCTTATGACCTCATAGAGATGACTTAATTACCCTTTAATTTCAAGTCAATTGCTATATATAGAGAGACTAAAAATTTAGACTATTTCTCACTTTGTATGTAGAATTTATCAAACCTTTGGGGAAATTAATATTGGTGAGAAAGGAGTAAAGTAGAATGAGTAAAAGATTAATGAATAATTCAAACAAGAAACACATGAAATAACTAATTTAACAAGAAAAGATAATTTAGAGGGTTTATTTTTGCCCAAAATTTGGAATATATCATAAATATACTTTGGTCATAATTTAGGGGAAGCTAACAATTAATCTAGTGAAGAACTTCACGAAAAATGGGAGAATATAAGTTAATTAGCTGGCCTTGCAATTTTTCTCTTTCTACCTTTTTCTTTTGGCGAATTTATACCACTAGATAGTGTCTAGTGGCGTTTTATTAGAAAAAAAATTCATAGATAAGTACAATCAAGGAGTGCTAGACCTTATCTTATCAAATCCTAATGAAGTATCGAATATCTACTAATTAACAAACATGAAGAAAATAAGAACTAGAGAGAACTGGATATTTTATGATCAACACAGAATTTATAATATACTTTATGATGATATTACAAATGCGATGTTTAAATAACGCAAAATTATAAAAGCCAAGAAGAAAGTTGAATTTTCAAACTCTTTTACCTATATTCGATATTTATACCAATATAATTTAATAAATACATAATATGTATTCTTACATTTCATGTTATCACTAAACCATAGTTAAGTAATACATATTATCACCTCAATTTATCACTTAAAATTGATAAATTATTATGATTAGGTGTAAACATAGTCGCTAAATTTTATCATTGGCTCCCTATTCTACATTAAGTTATTGGCATTATACGATTAGAGGCGGATCTACGGTGGTTATTATAGATATAAACTCAATAGTTTTTGTCAGATTATGTATATGTATTAAGAAATTCATTAAAGTAATAAATATTTGATTATAAATCTTGTTACTATCGTATATTAACTTAAAATTGATGTAAAGATCATAAACTTTAAATCTTAAATCTCGCTTTGATGCATCCTTAGTTTCTCCAAATACCCTGGCCTAAACAAGTGTCATTTGCAAATGTTTAATGAAGAGTAGAATCTAAAAGAGTAATTTTGCACTATTGTTATTGCAAACATTAACTAATGAATCCCTCAAACTTAGAAAATAGTAAAGGAAATTACTATTTGGAGAAAATGTTCTTTTAAGTTACCTACACCCTAGTCCTTTGGTAATTCCAATTGGTTAATGCAAAAGTGCAAAAAAAAAAAAAAAGTTAAAAAAGAAGAAGAAAGAACAAATCCATGCACATTTGTAACCTCATAATGAAAGAAAGAAAACAGATAGGATAAAAATTTAAGATAAAAACTTGAAGAAGAAAAGGAAAACAAATAGTATGAACATTAATTAGTTTAACCCTCGTACTCTGAATCAAGCTATATTAATTGAAACATATATAGGAAGGAAAGTGCCAGAAAATTTGGCTAGAAAAAAACTATAATTTTTTTTTAATTTTAAAATAAATTGATTTTTTTTTCCATTTTTTAGTTAAAAGATATTAAAGTTAAAAGGGTAAAAATATTTAAAAAGGTAAAATAATATAAATAAAATATCATTCTGGCCAAATTTTCTGGCCAAAAAGATTTTTCCATATAAGAATATAAAAGAGTATGAACATTAATTAGTTTGACCCTCGTACTCTGAATCAAGTCACATAAATTAAAATATATATAGGAATATAAAAGAGTATGGATATTAATTAGTATGACCTTATACTCTGAATCAAACCACATAAATTGAAACATAAGAATATAATTACTAGAAGAAATCAATTACCTCAGACACAAGAATTGCAAGTATGGATGAAAAAGCACACACCACAATTCTCTCCTTTTGTTATTTCTTCTTTAATCTTATTGGTACACTTAGAAAAGATATGTGATATGTCTTCTTGACTAAGCCTTCTTAAGAAGGAAGATTTGCACAAATAAGGGTAGTTAGGAATGAGTTGAATTTGTTTATTTATTAGAGGACAAGAGCACAAAAAGAAGAAAGAAAGAAAAGTTAGGAGAGGGACAATTATCTGAATTATGATACAGTGATGGGACTATTCCATCCGTAATTAGGATTTTGGATTCGAGTTTTGAGTATGGAGAAAATCTTATTGGAAGTAAAACCCGCAAAATGAGTCATGCAATATGCAATTCAAATTAAATTGAAACTCCAATACTAGTACTGGACATCAGATGATTTTTATTTTTTTTTAAAAGTGAGGGACAGTTCATTAATTGTTGTCAACATGAGTTAAAAATGAGAAAAGAAGAAGACCACATAAACGTTGTCTTTGTCTTATTGTCTTTGTATTCATTGAAAAAGTAAAATAATTAAGAAGAAAAATAAGCTATCCATTAGCTTATTTTATTGCGGACTAAAAGGAAATTAAACTATAGAAGCTAAAATATCATATGCATTAACATGACTTGGCCAAATGGAGTTTGCATATTCAACTTCCACCTTGTAGATTTCAATTTTCAAGATTCATTTCAATATTCTTGTGTTTACATTTGGCATTGTCATGAATTTTGGCTTAAATGATGTTAGATTAGTACTTCTTCCGTCTCAAATTATTTATCAAGATTTTCTTGACATGTCTCTTAACAAACATTCATTAGAAGAGAGGTTTGTCTATTTAATTTACTCCTATTTATAATCGGAATATATAAAATAGAAATATGTCTTTTAGTTTGGCCTCATTTCACATTTATGTCCTCCAACTTTGGTGTACACAAACAGATACTTAAACTTATATAAAGTTGAACAAATAGACACACATTTCCATTACCTATGTGACATACTACATGACAATTCGTGTTCTACATGTATTATGTCACATAAAACTCATGTTCTACTTGTTCAACTTTATAAAAGTTTAAGTGTCTACTTGTGCACACCCAAAATTAAAAGCATAAATATAAAATAAGGTCAAATTAAAAGGACACATTTATATATTATGTATTTATAATCGTACAAATATCTCTAACTTATATTTTTTTATAATTTTTTTTAAAAAAAAATTAAATATCAAGTCAGACAACGTCAATGTGGCATTGTAGTGGAACGATGGATAACCGCGTAGGTAACTAAGGGCGGCCCTTAGATTTGTTCACTAAGTATCAAAGAGCACGTTTGTCAATATTCTTGCTGGCAAACGCTCACACCTTGGACTTGGCCACTTCATACATATGGAATCAAATTAATCAAGTATCAATTCAAATATACTCTATTTGTCACAAAATATTTATTGTAATTACTAAAAATATTTGTTACTTTAAAAGTTTAAGATAAAACTTATTTTTTTCTTTTTATTTTATGAGTTAAAGATTAAAAATACATTTAAACTATATATTCCAATTTTTCGAGTTTCATATTGAACGGTTAGGAATATTAGTTTCTTATCAAAACTATCACTCATTAATTAGCAAAGACAGAGGCTACATTAGAATGATTGTATGTTGAACTAGGAGACAAAGGAATAAATAAGAAATTGTACAGGCTTGCAAAAGCAAGAGATAGGAAGGCAAGAGACCAGGATGAAGTAAAGTGCTTCAAAGATGAAGAACGCAAGGTGTTAGTGGAAGAGACCCACATTAAGCCGAGATGGCAAGCATACTTTCACAAACTATTAAATGAAGATGGGGACATAGACATTGT